ACCATCAGCCCCACAGCCCCTGGGTGGGCTCTTCCAAACTGGCATATCCAGCTCACTTTTCTTGGTGCAATGACACTGGTGCTCGGATGGATTCATTCGACCCCTCAGACATTACCTGTGTTCTAGCCTTCCCTTATAATCTGGAGTTAGTTTGGTGCCAACATCCAGTGGTACTATCGACTGTGCCAACTGAGAGATACACACTGGCTCCTCCACATTTGCCTAGCCAAAGCCAAGTAGAGTCTCAGATTTCCCACTTCACTTCATGCCCTCAGCTAGTCTGCTCTTGCACCGACATCTTCAGTGTATTATATAGCACCTATCCCTATATCATTCAACGTCCCCCTTCCAGAGCTGGAGAGCAACCAGCAAAGATGCTAACACCTACCAGCTCTCCATCAGGTGAACAGGCATGTGCATATTGCAGAGAGCAAGGGCTGTATCGCATGCCATTGCATGGCAATGACAAGGGCTGTATCGCAAGGGCTGTATTGCATGGCATTATACCTTCTGGAGGAGGCATAATGCCATGCAAGCCAATATTCACCTCAAGAGACTGATCCACTGCATGGCTGAATGAAACTCATTCCTCCTCTCCTCGCTCTTCCCCCTTTTGGACAAATGGAGCCAAGAGCCCAAGGCCTGAGCTCTGGTTTGATGCACAATGCCACACCTCGGGGCTGGAATAAGCACCTCCAAAGTGCCTGCCCTTGTTCCACCCATGTTCCACATAGGGACCACCTTGCAATGTGAACACCTAATGCCTAACTCATAAGGCAAGCCTGAAGGCCTGTGTTTCAGGAAGGACAATTTCAGCCCTTTTTTCTTGTTTGAGGAAAAGCGGGTGCATTTTTAAGAGGAAAGTACTAGACATGGACCCAAACCATAAGCCCTGAATCCTCAGGGCATTTAGAAACGGCACCTCAGCTCGATACCTAGGGGTTTGGGTACCTGCAGTCAGGCTCCAGATCCAGCTGTGGTGCCTGGGGCTCACCTCTGGAAAGCAGTGACGATAATTCGGGTAATGCCAATTTTATGGGGAGGCAAAATGGGAGCTGCAGGAAGCTGAAGTGATCCGTCAGGGACAGACATGCGGGAGGCATGCGGGTTACCCAACTTCTCCTTTCCTGACATTTCCCAAGCGCCTGTTTCTCAGCTACACTAAGAGCACTCGATGTCTTCCTCAGGCTGCCTTGACTAATACAGGGACCTGGGCAGAGCCAAGCACCCATCCAGGGTATGGAGAGGCACCAGCGTAGCTCCATCCCTCTCTCCCCTCCACATGAGCCCGGAGTAACCGAGCATCCGATCCATACATATGCACAGGAAGCCAGGCTTCTCCATAGCAGGTACTTTGCCCTTTAGCTCCCTGCAGGACCTGCACCCCAACACCAGGAATCCCTCAGCTAGATTTCAGACTGGCCACAGTCACACCTCCAGGTTCGGTTCCCGTACACCCCTCCTCTTGGCATACGGCAAACCCCAGCACGCAGATCCCCCTGGCGCACACTGTACTCATTCTGCGCTCTCAATGGGAGCTGCCCCCACTTCTCAAGCCCGCTGCAGCAAGGCAGGTCTTACCGATGACACAGAAGGGCTTGCGAGCAAATTTTAACCTTCCCCTCCAGCCCCGGTATCGACAGCAGCACCCGGCAGCCCAGATTCTGACGAAGTATTCCACGCCGAACACCACGATGGTGACTATTTCCTGCAAGGGAGACCGTGCAATTAGTTCAAGAACAAAGCCTGGGGGAGAAAACACTGCAGATTCAATACAGACTGTGTTGGTAATAAAAGTCCATTGTGTTGCATTTTATTTTTTTAAAAAGCACCCACTGGTTTCTGTGCTCCAGCAGTGTATTGCAGACCATTCGGAAACCCGGCTCGGTGACAGCTGCTCCCAGACTGGTTTTCAGCATCTTTCTGAATGCCCTTGGCTGTCAACTAGCCCTTTGTACCATCCTGCATTTCACTAGGGTCCTTCCAAGCCGCAAAGTGAAAGGACTAAAACTATCGTGAGTCAAAGCTCTGTGGGTCGTGTGCCGTTGGTATGGTACTGTTTCCCTGATTCCCCCCCATATTAACGATGCTCACCTCGCCTTTCATGTGTGCTGAGTCTGACAGGGCTCTAATTAGGCTTTCACTGGCTTTTGATATCGGGCGAGGAGATGGTGAGGGGGAGGAGGAAGGGAGAGACAAAGAGCGGGGAACACAATGAATCCTGGGAGCCAGAGGAAGTATCTAATTCTGCCAGCGATCACTCAGCGTGTCACCAGAAGCCGCATTGTCAGTGTATGCAATGTGCCGTGCCAAGCTGTTTAAGTAGGGGAAGTATGCGCCTTTATGTCAGATCAAATCAGCACCAAAATGTTTACAGGGCAGGGCAGGCAGGGACGTACCTAGGCTGGAGCAGCATCTCTTTAAAAGAGCCTCTCACTAGCTTGTATATTCAGGCCCAGAGCATGGCAGGTTGTTTAGGCAGACAAGGATCTTTGGGTAAATGTGATCTCTTTTATTAGACTAACTAACCAGTTGGAGAAATTATTTTTTGCAAGCTTTCCAACACAAACGCCCTTCTTCAAGCATAGAGAGAGGCTGTTGGTGTCCCTAGGCTTGAAGAAGAGTGTTTGTGCTCAAAAGCTTGCAAAGAACAACTTTTCAAACTATTTAGTTGGTCTAATAAAAGATGGCATTTACCCAAAGATTTGGTTGGTCTAATAAAGGAGATTGCATGTATCCAAGGATTTAGTTGGTCTAATAAAAGAGATCCCATTTATCCAAGGATTTAGTTGCCCTAATAAAAGAAATCACATTTACCCAAAGATGTGGTTGGTCTAATAATAGAGATCACATTTACCCAAAGATTTAGTTGGTCTAATAAAAGAGATTGCATGTACCCAAGGATTTAGTTGGTCTAATAAAAGAGATCGCATTTACCCAAGGATTTAGTTGGTCTAATAAAAGAGATCGCATTTACCCAAGGATTTAGTTGGCCTAATAAAATAAATCACATTTACCCAAAGATTTGGTTGGTCTCATAAAAGAGATCGGATTTATCCAAGGATTTAGTTGGTCTCATAATAGAGATTGCATTTACACAAAGATTTGGTTGGTCTAATAAAAGAGACTGCATTTACCCAAGGATTTAGTTGGCCTACTAAAAGAAATCACATTTACCCAAAGATGTGGTTGGTTTAATAATAGAGATCACATTTACCCAAAGATTTAGTTGGTCTAATAAAAGAGATTGAATGTACCCAAGGATTTAGTTGGTCTAATAAAGGAGATTGCATGTACCCAAAGATTTAGTTGGTCTAATAAAAGAGATTGCGTTTAGCCACGGATTTAGTTGGTCTAATAGGAGACATCACATTTTCCTAGAGAACCTTGCCTGCCTCTGTCCTTACACCAACACGGCTACAACCAACAACCCTGCAGTATCTTTAGACACACACAGAACTGACAATGGCAGAGATAATTTTCTTTGCCGGGGTCTTAAGCACTCTCATTAGACTTTTAGCCCAATTCTCTCTTTGCTCACTAACACCAGAGCAACCCCAGAGCAGCTTCAGTGACTTCAAATTTATATCCAGCATAACCAGGAGGTGCTGCTGGTCCTGTGAGGGGAAGCTAAATACAGCGCTATAGTCTCTCCAGAAGAGAGAGAGAAGAAAAACCGAGAATAACGATGCCAAGTGAATGAGGAGTTACTTTGCCAGCTTCCACCTGTTTAGACTGGGAGTCCAATTTGCACTTTCATCTTAAGAAAGGTCCTTGGACCTTCGGGGGTTTAAGGATTATAACAACCCACCCCTTCCTACCAGGGGCTGCCAGGCCTTTGCTTGGAAAGCTGTGCCTGCCGTTAAGGTTGGAAAGCATGGTGAATCCACACAAAGGTCTGCATAAGGGGACAGTGTTTGAAGGATGGATACCTCTTCACTCCCGAAATGTCTCACCATTTTTCAAAAAGAAATGCAAAAATCTAGAACTCTTGGTCCAGAAATGATACCTTTTATAACAGTGGTCTAAGCTGGCCATTTTTCAAAAAGAAATGCAAACATCTTATACTTATAAAAGGTATCCTTTCCAGACCAAGAGTTTTAGATTTTTACATTTCTTTTTGTCTCAACCCAACGCGGCTACCAAAAACATCACCATTTTTCAGAATCTGCCTCTGACTGATCCCCTCTTGAATACAGCACCACAAATGCTTGTCCAGGTTAAAAAAGTCAATAGTGTTATAGGTTATTTCCCCCAACTGTCACACACATTTTTTATTTGCAACTCTCAGCTTACCAAGATGTAGAGAGCCCCTTCAGAGCTATTCTGGTACTCATCGATGGTTGAAAAAACAGACAGCACGAGGCAGGAGAAGACCAGTAGAAAACTAGACAAGAAAAAAAAAATGATGTCAGTCCTCAAAGCACAAGTTTTGGATAGCTGATCAAACTTTTTAACCCATGGCGTGTTTTCAGATAGGTCGCATTGTGCTGCCATTATGATATTGCCCCTCTTTATAAAAATATTCTCTCACAGATACTCAGTACAAGGTGACCTGGTGAGAAACTGGTGGTACCCAAACATTGCAAGCTGGGGAAGTCATTGATGCAATGGCATCGTTTGGTGTCATCACGTTGCTGTATCACAGCGAGGTGCCACACAATATGCTCAAAGAAGCTCCCATTTAAACAGCTCCTGGAAAAGAGCATGCATTGGATCGCTTCCCAGCCGGTGACAGCATTACCACACAATCCTGTAAGACGTCTACCTTCACAAGAGCAGCCCCTCCACTTGATTCACCCTAATGAAAGCATTGCAAGTTGTAAGAGCTACCTCTGGGGAAGCAACTGCAGGACAAGTGCATGCCACTACTGTAGGTACCAGGGACCCACAATACCTTTCCTGAGCAATGATATCTTCCTGCCTGATTTCTTGGTGATTATATTACTCGCCCATTGATTCAAAGCTTCTGCCACGTCGCGCACTGGTTTTATATTTCCAGTTCAGTTTTTGAAAATGATGATGATAAAAAAGGACCTCCAATTCACTGGTTTTCAGGTCAAGCAGGGAGAGCAGAAGGCAGATTTGGCTCTTAGCATGCGAGTCTTCTCGGCTACGACAGCGATGCTGAAACCCCTGGTGCTGGCACCACAAAGGCAGAATATTTTATCTGCATCTGGGCTTTTGTGCTGTTGCCCACCAGAGTATCTGACAGCCAATTATGAGGAGCCTCTCGGGGCTTGCCTGTTCCCCCCGAAGTGTCATTACTGGAGCGGATCTGGATCCGGCCTTCCTAAGTTTGAACCTAATTGTTTCTCTGTCTTCTCAGCCCTCAGTCACACGAGAGAGAAGCGTGCCGCTAAACCCTTGCACGTCGCACTGAATATTTAGCGCTCGGCTGTACTTGAACACGCTCCTCTGTCTTGTTTTCCATTGCATCTGGGAGTCGGCTCTGTGCGTGTGAAAATGAAGCCTCTCGCTGTCTGGCAGCAGACACGGTGCTTTGCCTGACAGCGGGGAGAGCATGCCGGGGATGCTGGAGAAATACCTCCTGGAGGGATGGCTCAACACATGAACCCTTTGCAGAAAGCATTGCCAACCTCCAAGCACCCGCAAGGATGGGGGAACTCCAAGGCACAACCAGCTTTCCGGCAAAGGCATTTGCAAGCAGCTCCACAGTTTGGTGGGATAAAAGGCTTTGCAGGATCAATACAGGTGTCTGCAAGCCAGCATGACTGTGCTAAGAGACTGTGTGGCCCCCGGCAGAGAAAGCACTGAGCTGGCACTCACAAGTCTAGCCCCAGCTTTGCCAATGTCTGATGTGGTGAACTTGGGCAAGTCATTGCCCCTCAGCCTCCCCCTCTGCTTTTGCCCTCTGTAGAAAACTACCAAGAACAGCAGTGATACAGAAATGAGCAGTGGGCTATGAGATCCCCCAGTACGAGGCCACCAGCAAACCCATGACAACCAGTCCAGTGCTGGACCCCTTTTGGCTTCACTGGCCTGGTGCAGGTTTCTCAGTTAATCATAGAAAATGAGGATGGGAAAGGACCTCGGGAGGTCACATCTAGTGCAACCTCCTGCTCCAAGCAGGACCAGCCCCAACTACATCATCCCAGACAAGGCTTTGTCTACTGGGTCTCAAAAACCTCCAAGGATGGAGACTGCACCACTGCTCCGGGTAACCTGTTCCAGTGCTTCACCACCTTCCTAATGAGGAAGTTTTTCCTAATAACCAACGGAAATTTCCCTTGCTGCAATTTAAGACCATTGCTCCTTGTCCTGTCATCTGCCCTCACTGAGAACAGCCCAGCTCCATCCTCTTTGCAGCCCCCCTGCAGGGAGGTGAAGGCTGCTAATGGGGCTCAGTGAATCCAGCCCACCTCCCACTCCCTCGGCCTCTCTGGTATGTGCTTGGAGATTTTCCAACACACCCTAGTGACCCAAGAGCTCCTCTCACTGACTTTCCCTGCACTTGTGCTCCTAGCTCAGGCACTTTTGCAGATCCTATCCTTGCAGATGATCTGAGATGGGCGTGGAGGAGATGCGGGTGGCAGTGAGATAAGGTGCATTTTACCAGCTACCCTGTCATTCAAACCCAGCCTGTAGCAGCAACAGTAACATCATCTAATGGCGTCTACGTGTCCCCTGGGAGTTAAGCTGATCTCAGCCTAGTTCCCAGTGGACGGGTCGCTACCAGTCCAAGCCTACCCCAAATTGGCAGCCCCATGACTATCCTCCGCACAGAGAGACAAAGGACTGAAAGGGCTACGGACCCAGCTTAGCTAACAGCAAGGCTTCAGCCTCTGAGGCTGTTGGTTGGCACTTTTCATGAGCACTGGATGCATTAAAACCACTTAAAAAAGGAAAGTGAGCAACCTGGTGCCATCCCCACGTGACAAGGGAAAGCCAGGGGCTCCTTCCTGAGGCATTATCTGGCACCAATTCACAAACCAAGCAAGTCAGCAGGCAAGAGCAAGAACCTGCTCAAGCAAGGGGAGGGAAATTAATTTACTAATGATGGATTTGTTGATACAATAAAGCAAGCCGGCTCGGAGATAAACCAAAGGCCTACATTTTGTAAAAGCTTTAAATAATTCATCCCTCTGGCTTTGCTTCGCACTACTGCAAATTGGAATTGGAATATTTATAAGGTGGAGTTCGGCGGGGGGCAGCTGGTCTTCTTTCTGCAAAGAAAATGAGGGTTGGTCCTTAGAGCTCGGCTGTATCACGTCTTTGTGGGTTTGCGATGGCCATAAACATCCCAGCAATGAGCACAGATAGGCGAGGTTCACAGCACTTAGCCGGATCACGGCATTTATGCAATGCTTGCCGGTTCCCAGAGGGTGAGGGACTTTCGGAGAAACCGCAGCGGGCACTGCAGATCGTAAACAGCGGGGTCGAATCTTGGCACTGGTCCTGCAGCTCCTGGGGAGCCAGGGCAAGGCTGTTTGCTCACTAGGGAATCCCTCTCCTATGCACCAATGCAATGCAAAAGGGCTCATAATGAAGGTAAGCAAATGGCTTTTCCATCCTGCCGGCTTAGACCACTTAGATGCCTCCCCAAAGGCCGTGTATTGGCTTAAATGAGTGGTTCTAGGCACCTCTACTAATGTAGCACCAGCATCTGCCACTTGAATTAATGGGAATTGCAGGCATCTCTCCCAACTGAGGCAGCTTGTGCTCACCAAGGAACAAAAAAGCATGCACACAGGCACTTCCCATAGAGCAGCTGACCTGCTGTAACTTCACATCCCAGCTTCCCTCCTGGGAGCTTGCTTGTGCCCATACCCTAAAAGAGCAAGCTAGCATGGCCATTTTAAGAAGACTGGCTCCCTGGAGCTGCCACTCCGAGCTCACCCCACTGAACATGGTGCACAGGCCCAGGGCAGCTCATCGAGGTGGTTAGCAGCTGTCCCTGGGATGTAAGACAAAGAATGCAACTAAGGCATAAGGATGGTGAGGGAAGCACTGGCTGCTGCACTTTCCCGGCCCAGCACAGATGCTCGTTAGCCAGGCATGCTACGTTCAAGACACTCCTGGTAGACAGATCCGCTCATCACAAGGACTCGCTGCTGACCAGAAGCCCTTCCTGTTCATGAAGCTGCTAGAAGCAACAAGTGAATGCTGCTGCACATCTGGCAGGTGAATGCCGCCGCACATCTGGCAGGTCTAATTTTATAATGGCATCTCCAACAGGGAGCACTGCTCATCAGAGAATCATAGAGAAGTGGGGCTGGAAGGGACCAAAGGTCATTTGATCCGACCCCCTGCTCAAGCCAGGATCATCCCTATCCAAATCATCCTATCCAAATCCACAATCTAAAACTACCGTCTGCCCAGGCACGACGCACGACGCCACACGCGAACTGCCACAGGTAAAGCAGATGGGACCAAAGCTCAGTCTGGAGACAGGATGCAGGACCTGCTCCCCATCCCTTAGTCTGCATATAACCTCCTGCCCCACTGCAGCCAAAGTCAGCCAAGCAGTCAGGCATCTGCTCCCATTTTGCACCCGATGATGGAGACAGCCCCCTGACGAAGGAGAAATCTCAGCCCGGCCCAGCCTGAAAGGCAGCACGGGAGAGGGACCACGATGGGCAGAGAGGTGTCCACGCCTGGGCTGCCTGGCAGAACTAGAAAGGAGGCAGCTAGATGTGGTGCAGCCCACGAGCTGGAGAGAGGTTTCCCCTTTGCATTTCAGAGTCCCAGCCCCTGGAAAAGAGGTACCTCCAGTAGTTCGGCTTGCAAACCCCTGCGGTTCCTAGGCCTGCTTATCCCCCAGCCTGTGGAGCTGTGCATCTGTAATGTTTCCTTTTCCAGGTAGGAGAAAGCAGCCTAGAGCATCCCTTAGCCTCTTCTATCCCCTCCTCCCCAAATGGCTATTGATTGCTGGCTGGGTTTTGTAATAAACAGAAGAATTCAGCAACAGGGGGGTTCTGGGGTGGGTTTTTTTGTAACTTAGAGTCATTCATCAGCTGATCTTAGCTCCGTGCACAGCCGGAGCTGCTGGAGAAGACGCCGAGTCTGCCAGAGGATTGCAAACATTCCTCCAGTTTTCCTGGGTCAGCACGGCCCGGGGACCTTAAGTACCAGACTGCAACGGTGTCTCTGTCTGGGCTGGTCCCGAGAAAAGCAAACCTTGCATCTATGCAATGACAGAAACCACAATCTGGGGCATTCGGCCCTATTCTTGGCCTGGCCTAGATTTTACCACAAAAGCCTACTTCAGAGAGAGACACCTCTGAATACTGAAAGGAAGAACGAAATAAAAAGAAAGAAGCGTGCAGGGTGAGATGGAGCAGAGGAGGGGAAGGAGAAGGGCAGCAAAGCTGGGCTAGTCTGGTTAACAAGCAACAAGGGACATGCTTTTGGAAGCACTTCCAG